TGGGGGGGGGGGGGGTGTTGACGGAGAGGACCATGTTTGTCAATGCAGCCGGCAGATGACATTCCCCTCTCCAGTGTAGCTTGTTATATTTAAAAACAAAACGGATAAGGAATGGAGGAGCTGAGATTCATGCTTCCAGTGTTCATGTTGTGCATTTGGGAGAAATAGGGATACAACTTTTTCTACAGTTGGCATACAAATATAAGCAATCAGCTCCTTACATTGGAAAGGCAAAAGAACTGGCACTGTTACCACTCTCATGAGAAAAGCGAGGGGGACTTGCACAAATACGAGGTGTTCCTTTACCATCTGAAATGCTGGAAGCGGTATCAGAAACACGTGCCTGATCAGCAGGGGACGGCTTTTCCTTCTTATGAACTTCCACATGTTCCTTCAACTCCATCTTTAAGTCCTCAGATGTCTTGTGTTTTACTCTCAAGTCCTCAGACATATCAACACTCTTTCTGTCTGTGTCTGCTGTTGCTTCAATAACAGGAGGCAGGCTGGATGAGAAGTTGTTCAACTCATTGGACTTGGCTTCAGTAACAGAAAGCCGGTTGGAAGGATAATTCATCTCGTCAAGCTTGGTCAGTTCTCCAGACTTTCCCATTAGAATAGCATGATCTCTAGAGAAACTGTTATTCCCCATGTGAATACTAAACAACGACTCATTTGATGCAACACTCCAATCCATGATTGTTGAAGGTTTACTAGCAAAAACAGATGCTGGAATTCGATTTGGGTCATAACTTGAAGGCCGTGCCATTGTTTGGAGCGGTGGGGTTCTCATGGGGGACACATTTTGGGTGCTCAACTCAGGAGTCTCAGTAAAAATTTCTGGTGAGAATAGAGGCCCAGATCCGGACCTTGGGGATGCACTTACCATGCTCCACTCAGGCGTCTGAGGAGAAAAATCTGATGATGATATGGGTACTGCTCTAGGTGACCTAAGAGCATCTTGATCAGGAGATGAAGAGGCAATAGAACTGGACGAAGATGAATGAGAAGAAGAGATGCTGGAAATTTTGTCTTGAATAACTAAATTGCCATTGTCATTGGTAGCCCCCAGATGCAACCTTAAATGCTTATTACTTCCACTTCCATTTTCATGTTCCATTTCTTTTCTGGTTACACTAAGTCTTCAAAGGACTTAGACCATCTCAGATTGTAGAATTTCCCGTTGTGCAGGAAGGGAGTAGTAGTTACAGTACTGCATATTAAATTCACAGGCAGGTTAATGATGGCATGAAAGGCCAACAAAACAGGGAAGATAAGTACTCACTCACTGATTAATATGCTACAGTAATGAATATAGAAAAAATTCAATACAGAAAACGTAACAATAGATCCATCTACATGTCAGGTAATAAACTTTAAAGGTAATTGAAGCCGGTAATAAATTTGCAGAAACGTTTTGGTTGCTGAAGTTTTCATGGCTATGAACTTCTTGCAGGTATATCGAACTTCTCAGAGAGAAAAGGGAAAAAACATACTTGTTTCTTTGCTTGGTTCTCAATAAAAATGTTAAAAAAAAGAAATAGACTTAACATAAAAGATTCTGACCAAACATAAACACAACAAAGTTTTTTGCACATTTCTTTTAGAGTTTCTCTCCTTTAAAAAAATATTAGAACTCAAGAAGGAAGAGAAATGCACAGAGGGTGGGTTCAACAATCTGATTATGGTGAGCAAAAGGCAATTTCGACTTAAGATGACATCATTAACAGGTTTTGGAAATGAGGGAATATCCGAGGAGAGGCAATTTTAATGGCTATCTGTTGAGTTCTTGGAAGGTAACATACATGCATAACCCTACATGTCCCTCACAATTTGCTATATCAAAAATCAAATATCATCGGTTGATATATTATGCAGAAATGGAACATATCACCAATCCACATTTATTGCCAGCTTCTAGGTTTTCTTATGCAGAAACAACCTCTCTCCTTGCATAGTAAGGTTGCATACATCTAACCCTCCAATGGTGGGAGACTCGTGCATTGGGTACGCGCCAAATTACAACTATTATCGCATTGTTCGATTGCAATTTGGGCAGATTTGAATTCAATAGAACCGAGAATTGCACAAAAGGATTGAATCAATAATCGACATTGAAGCGCCAAGAAATTTACTTACTTGAATCTTCATGGAAATCCTTGATCAGCTCTTTTACCTTTTCATCCGATTCAAACCACAAGAGAAACTAAAAGCAAATGCAAATCAAATATTGAAAACAGAGAATTTTAATAAGATTGAACGCAGTATTGATAACGCAGAGGACGAAATTGAAAAGGGAATTTAGGGCACTGGAAGAGAGAGAGAAGAAATTAGGGTTTATTATTAGGGAGTTTTTTTTATCAGATTTTTCCGAGGGGAGTTGGAGAAGAAAGGATGGACAAGCGGCAATTTCGGTGATGGCTGATATAGATTTTGTGTATAACGAACTTAACGACATTCTTTAACTACTTCAACGTTGTGACGCGGGAAGATTAGTTTTTGTACTTTTGACAGTTACATAACTGAGCTGTCACTGCTAGGTTTAAGACCACGAACTTATTAGCCTAACGGCATAGAAAAACACTATCCAGCCCCAATTGCGATTTCAAATGAATAGGGCTCTTTTGGATGAGTGAGTTTAACCGAATAAAGTTAACGGGACCAAATTAAATAGTTTACTCTAATCCGTTCCATCGATTGATTATAGTATAAGAGAACTATAATCTCTCGAAATTATTTGTTAGAATAATTTAATATTAAATTTTTTTTTTTAATAATTATTATGTATAACCCACCACAATAATGTTCTCAATATTTATATTTCATAAGATTCTTTAAAACCAGTAATATATGTATATTCGTGTGTGTGTGTGTGTCATCATCCTAGCATTATTAATATTTTTAATGTGTATTGAAATTGGGAGTATGACTCCAAACTAGCTGTTTGAGATCAGGTTACCACTATAACTCATTTTGGAGGATTTTTTACGAAGGAAATATACTATTTTCTATATTTCTCCATACATAATATGCATCTATTTGTTGTATGATTTATGTGTTTTTCTGGGCAACTTGAGTTGTGATTGTTCGCAATAAAGAGTTTCATACCTGTCTCGTATATTCACTGGAATTGTTGNACCTACTGACTACACTAACACCAATCATGAGTTTTTGAGGTATAAATACTCCTCGCAAAAGGCAAGACGGCAGGCAACAAAAAACCTTTGCTACAATACATATTCAGTGTTTTCTTCTTCCTCTCTCTCAAAAGACTGACTTGATCGTCAGAGGGGATACGCCGGAAAACACTCCGGCTCCCTTCTAACTTATTCTTCTTTGTTCTAGGAACCTTCTTCAGCCTTACTGGATCGTTCCATTGATCCACGAGGGTCTCCCATTACCGTTCTAGGTTACCACCGGATCTCACAGGCTGTTCCAAGCTGCGGGGTTGACCACTCAACTGACTCACTCGAGTTCACCAAGGCAGAGATCTGTTCTTGTGTTTATATTGTGCAAGATCCAGCACGCACAGTTTTAAAATACTCTACCCAATAAATCTTTTTTTTTTTTTAAATTGGTTTATAATTCTTTATATATGTTCTTACTTCAATGGTGAGGACCTAATCTTAGAGGGAGTAGGAAGGGTGCATTATGTTTGAATTGTTAGTGCACTATTAAAAAATGTTGGGTTACTAAACGGTCACAAGTATAAACCTTTCATCATTCAATTTAAATTTATAATATCGAAATTTAGATATATACTCAGTTCATTCATTCCAACAATATTCACCTATTATTAAAATAGATAAAACACTACACTGACCAAATTTGATTGTTCAATTGTTGTGGCCCATCCACACTCCAATGTAAATGCACACTAACACCAAACACCAGAGCAACATCCAATAATAGGAGTAACTTTGGTCCAAGTATTTCAGAGTCAAACAAGGGTACCCACAATCATTTAGCCGCCAGCTCCACTTCTCTTACATAAATTTATCCATAACTTTATATAGTATAAGACACTGGGACTAAAATTGTCCCATTTTTCTTTGGTTAGACATTTATTATAGAGAGACGACGAAATTTGAATATACGACCTTAAGGTTCAATAATAGAGACCGTAGCCACTGTAGGCCAACCGTAAATCTCAGTATCATTGTCCTAATAAGTATTGTTTTTATGCTTATTTGCTATATACCAAGGTGACTAAGAGTTGAATAGAATTTTGCAAAGGTTTCCTTGCTGCTCTTCTCTATAATCACAAACAAATACTTCTTACCAAGATAAAGATCAAATTATTCAAGTTTTATACATGTAAGTATGTCAAAGAATCTAATAGTGGAAAGCTTTTTAGTTCATGGCATGGAAACTCCATTGCATTACAATTACACCAAACAAGCTAATATAATGGACAGAAAAGCCATAGAATGAGCTACACTATACCAGAGACATAAAGAAAGTGAGAAATCCAAATTTTTTCAGGGCATCCTCAACAACAGATAAACAACTGCGTGCCGAATCTTCAGTCATTGACATGCAGTTCATCTCCCTCATCACTTCTTTCATACAAAAAAAGAAGTAGCTGAAGAACAATTCAACATAGATACAATTCCTGGCACTAAATCATTAACTTCAAGCTCTGAAACTTCTCATTCGGTAATTAGCATGATGCTTGAAATGATGAGGAAGTCTTCTGTGAGTTGGAGTTCCATATGTTTCCAAACAAATGACAAGTAAATTAGGCACTTTGAATGAACTCAGTCAATAAATCTTTTACAAGAATGATTGGAAGATACTATCTCAACAACACATTGGGCAATAGGATGGGCAGGAGAAGCAACAGAAGCAAGAGAACCATCCTGTGTTAGCAGCTTTTGGGGTTGCTTCAGGGTTTTGGGGTTTCGTCTGTGGTTTCTCGGAGGCCACCTTCACTGGGATATCGGTTCCAGCATCACCTGCCAATCTGAAATGCAAACAGGACAATAGTTCAGCTGGCTGATACCAAATGAACAGGTTATTGCATCCATCTCATCAATCAAATAGTAAAATCATTTGACGTCACACAAATTAGGTGGACTACAGACTAGAACTGCATAAAGTTTATGAAGTCCATAATTGAAAAAAGCAAAACAGGAGAGTTACATGACATAGATAAACATGGTAACAACACACATTATGGAGGGAATAAGGAAACATAGCTGATAACTAGAAACAATATGGTCGAATATAGTGCCTCTCTAATTCAGATGGTGTACGAATGCTCAATTGTTATCTAAATAGAAGATTAAGGATGTACTGGAGGAGAATGCTTAGAAAATATTAGGAATATTCCACAATGCCTATGCACATTTTGTCCCTGAAAAAACTCAACATATGTGCCTCATTCACAAAAGTTTGAGGATGAACAATCTTTGTCTAAGCATCAGAGTTAAATTTTTTGCAGAGTACACATTAAACAAAATTCAAAAAAGTTGAATGGATTCAAAGCAGTAATCAAGTGGATGCTACCATTCCCCTTTCCACACAAATTTTGGGCTAAATTGGGGATTCCGGTTGTCTGAGTTTTGGGGGTGGAAGTCATATACCTGTGTTGGGGTTTTTTTTTTTTTTTGGGAGGGGGGGGGGGGGGGGGTGTCAAGAGCAGAACATAAAGCCATATAGCATTGAGATTAACACATTAATTGATGATTTAGAGGGGCCACCCAATCGTATCTGGAAAATTAGAAAAAACTAGAATGCCAAAAGGCAATTTCCAAGAATTAGGGGTTCGCTTCGCCCTTGGTGATATGCCATCAGAGTTTTGAATTTCTTTTTCCATGCATATGATCTCTATTTTTCCCCTATTACATTTATCTTAATTAGTTAATCTAATCCCTACTGAACTTGTGGTTATTCTGTGTTTAGATATCTGGAAACTTTGGTGTTGCTAAAGATGCATTGGCAGAGGTTGCATCAAGACTTAGAACCAGATTTCTGCGAGATGCGAATGCTGGAGCAGAACCTGGTCCAGTCGGGCCAGTTCCTAGATTTCCTAGATTTGGTCATTCAGGAAACTTATCTGGTGCAGGGCCACCTCCTCCTGCCGGCTCTGGTGGATATGAAATGCTAAAGGTATATCTAACTAAAGCTCTGTATATACGTGTCCGAAGGTCCATGTTTAGGTTTGTGATCATTTAGTTATTTACGATGAACTTTCTCTCTGATTTCTAGCCAAAAAATGTTTTTTGGTTGAAGAATTGTGGTAATATGCAGCATTGTGTGGATTCCTACATCTTTTCTTTTGGTGGGTGAAAGGGTTATCCATAAGTTGTTCGACTAGGAATGATTGACCTCTTACTGACAATCTATCAACAACATAATAAGCTCAAAGAAAGATGATATGCTAATCTATAAATGACCAAAGTTGTTGGAAAAAGTGGACATAGAATATTATTCTTGAAATTTTGCAATATATATGTGTGCGCAGGTTATGCTCTTACCTTTCAATGAGATCTTTTTCCCATTATTTGTTATTTATCCCATGCATGACCTGTTGTTTTTCTTCACATGTTCTCATTTGCTTTTGGAAAGACTAAATGTAATAATTATATGCATGAGATCATGTGGTGCCTGAGTGAATAGACTNAATCTGATGATGATATGGGTACTGCTCTAGGTGACCTAAGAGCATCTTGATCAGGAGATGAAGAGGCAATAGAACTGGACGAAGATGAATGAGAAGAAGAGATGCTGGAAATTTTGTCTTGAATAACTAAATTGCCATTGTCATTGGTAGCCCCCAGATGCAACCTTAAATGCTTATTACTTCCACTTCCATTTTCATGTTCCATTTCTTTTCTGGTTACACTAAGTCTTCAAAGGACTTAGACCATCTCAGATTGTAGAATTTCCCGTTGTGCAGGAAGGGAGTAGTAGTTACAGTACTGCATATTAAATTCACAGGCAGGTTAATGATGGCATGAAAGGCCAACAAAACAGGGAAGATAAGTACTCACTCACTGATTAATATGCTACAGTAATGAATATAGAAAAAATTCAATACAGAAAACGTAACAATAGATCCATCTACATGTCAGGTAATAAACTTTAAAGGTAATTGAAGCCGGTAATAAATTTGCAGAAACGTTTTGGTTGCTGAAGTTTTCATGGCTATGAACTTCTTGCAGGTATATCGAACTTCTCAGAGAGAAAAGGGAAAAAACATACTTGTTTCTTTGCTTGGTTCTCAATAAAAATGTTAAAAAAAAGAAATAGACTTAACATAAAAGATTCTGACCAAACATAAACACAACAAAGTTTTTTGCACATTTCTTTTAGAGTTTCTCTCCTTTAAAAAAATATTAGAACTCAAGAAGGAAGAGAAATNAGAGGGGATACGCCGGAAAACACTCCGGCTCCCTTCTAACTTATTCTTCTTTGTTCTAGGAACCTTCTTCAGCCTTACTGGATCGTTCCATTGATCCACGAGGGTCTCCCATTACCGTTCTAGGTTACCACCGGATCTCACAGGCTGTTCCAAGCTGCGGGGTTGACCACTCAACTGACTCACTCGAGTTCACCAAGGCAGAGATCTGTTCTTGTGTTTATATTGTGCAAGATCCAGCACGCACAGTTTTAAAATACTCTACCCAATAAATCTTTTTTTTTTTTTAAATTGGTTTATAATTCTTTATATATGTTCTTACTTCAATGGTGAGGACCTAATCTTAGAGGGAGTAGGAAGGGTGCATTATGTTTGAATTGTTAGTGCACTATTAAAAAATGTTGGGTTACTAAACGGTCACAAGTATAAACCTTTCATCATTCAATTTAAATTTATAATATCGAAATTTAGATATATACTCAGTTCATTCATTCCAACAATATTCACCTATTATTAAAATAGATAAAACACTACACTGACCAAATTTGATTGTTCAATTGTTGTGGCCCATCCACACTCCAATGTAAATGCACACTAACACCAAACACCAGAGCAACATCCAATAATAGGAGTAACTTTGGTCCAAGTATTTCAGAGTCAAACAAGGGTACCCACAATCATTTAGCCGCCAGCTCCACTTCTCTTACATAAATTTATCCATAACTTTATATAGTATAAGACACTGGGACTAAAATTGTCCCATTTTTCTTTGGTTAGACATTTATTATAGAGAGACGACGAAATTTGAATATACGACCTTAAGGTTCAATAATAGAGACCGTAGCCACTGTAGGCCAACCGTAAATCTCAGTATCATTGTCCTAATAAGTATTGTTTTTATGCTTATTTGCTATATACCAAGGTGACTAAGAGTTGAATAGAATTTTGCAAAGGTTTCCTTGCTGCTCTTCTCTATAATCACAAACAAATGCTTCTTACCAAGATAAAGATCAAATTATTCAAGTTTTATACATGTAAGTATGTCAAAGAATCTAATAGTGGAAAGCTTTTTAGTTCATGGCATGGAAACTCCATTGCATTACAATTACACCAAACAAGCTAATATAATGGACAGAAAAGCCATAGAATGAGCTACACTATACCAGAGACATAAAGAAAGTGAGAAATCCAAATTTTTTCAGGGCATCCTCAACAACAGATAAACAACTGCGTGCCGAATCTTCAGTCATTGACATGCAGTTCATCTCCCTCATCACTTCTTTCATACAAAAAAAGAAGTAGCTGAAGAACAATTCAACATAGATACAATTCCTGGCACTAAATCATTAACTTCAAGCTCTGAAACTTCTCATTCAGTAATTAGCATGATGCTTGAAATGATGAGGAAGTCTTCTGTGAGTTGGAGTTCCATATGTTTCCAAACAAATGACAAGTAAATTAGGCACTTTGAATGAACTCAGTCAATAAATCTTTTACAAGAATGATTGGAAGATACTATCTCAACAACACATTGGGCAATAGGATGGGCAGGAGAAGCAACAGAAGCAAGAGAACCATCCTGTGTTAGCAGCTTTTGGGGTTGCTTCAGGGTTTTGGGGTTTCGTCTGTGGTTTCTCGGAGGCCACCTTCACTGGGATATCGGTTCCAGCATCACCTGCCAATCTGAAATGCAAACAGGACAATAGTTCAGCTGGCTGATACCAAATGAACAGGTTATTGCATCCATCTCATCAATCAAATAGTAAAATCATTTGACGTCACACAAATTAGGTGGACTACAGACTAGAACTGCATAAAGTTTATGAAGTCCATAATTGAAAAAAGCAAAACAGGAGAGTTACATGACATAGATAAACATGGTAACAACACACATTATGGAGGGAATAAGGAAACATAGCTGATAACTAGAAACAATATGGTCGAATATAGTGCCTCTCTAATTCAGATGGTGTACGAATGCTCAATTGTTATCTAAATAGAAGATTAAGGATGTACTGGAGGAGAATGCTTAGAAAATATTAGGAATATTCCACAATGCCTATGCACATTTTGTCCCTGAAAAAACTCAACATATGTGCCTCATTCACAAAAGTTTGAGGATGAACAATCTTTGTCTAAGCATCAGAGTTAAATTTTTTGCAGAGTACACATTAAACAAAATTCAAAAAAGTTGAATGGATTCAAAGCAGTAATCAAGTGGATGCTACCATTCCCCTTTCCACACAAATTTTGGGCTAAATTGGGGATTCCGGTTGTCTGAGTTTTGGGGGTGGAAGTCATATACCTGTGTTGGGGTTTTTTTTTTTTTTTGGGAGGGGGGGGGGGGGGGGGTGTCAAGAGCAGAACATAAAGCCATATAGCATTGAGATTAACACATTAATTGATGATTTAGAGGGGCCACCCAATCGTATCTGGAAAATTAGAAAAAACTAGAATGCCAAAAGGCAATTTCCAAGAATTAGGGGTTCGCTTCGCCCTTGGTGATATGCCATCAGAGTTTTGAATTTCTTTTTCCATGCATATGATCTCTATTTTTCCCCTATTACATTTATCTTAATTAGTTAATCTAATCCCTACTGAACTTGTGGTTATTCTGTGTTTAGATATCTGGAAACTTTGGTGTTGCTAAAGATGCATTGGCAGAGGTTGCATCAAGACTTAGAACCAGATTTCTGCGAGATGCGAATGCTGGAGCAGAACCTGGTCCAGTCGGGCCAGTTCCTAGATTTCCTAGATTTGGTCATTCAGGAAACTTATCTGGTGCAGGGCCACCTCCTCCTGCCGGCTCTGGTGGATATGAAATGCTAAAGGTATATCTAACTAAAGCTCTGTATATACGTGTCCGAAGGTCCATGTTTAGGTTTGTGATCATTTAGTTATTTACGATGAACTTTCTCTCTGATTTCTAGCCAAAAAATGTTTTTTGGTTGAAGAATTGTGGTAATATGCAGCATTGTGTGGATTCCTACATCTTTTCTTTTGGTGGGTGAAAGGGTTATCCATAAGTTGTTCGACTAGGAATGATTGACCTCTTACTGACAATCTATCAACAACATAATAAGCTCAAAGAAAGATGATATGCTAATCTATAAATGACCAAAGTTGTTGGAAAAAGTGGACATAGAATATTATTCTTGAAATTTTGCAATATATATGTGTGCGCAGGTTATGCTCTTACCTTTCAATGAGATCTTTTTCCCATTATTTGTTATTTATCCCATGCATGACCTGTTGTTTTTCTTCACATGTTCTCATTTGCTTTTGGAAAGACTAAATGTAATAATTATATGCATGAGATCATGTGGTGCCTGAGTGAATAGACT